TCAAGCCAATGTGCAACCGACTAACCAGTCTGCTTCCAGCCGCTGCTGCTTCTGCCCGCCTTCTCCTTCCCTCCCCTCCCCATCCTTCCCCTCCCGATCACCCGCCCCACGGCTGGTGGATACCGCCTTAAAGCCCGAGAAGCCAAAGGCGGAGAGGATGAGGGCGCACTCAGCGACGGCCCAGATGAAGTAGAACATCCAGCGATAGGCCAGCAGGGTGAGTGCCACCTGCCCGCACCTGCGTGGTGTGGGGGAATGGGTGGGGGTTTGTTGAGAATGTGAAGCGACGGCCCAGATGTAGCAGAACATCCAGCGGTACGCCAGGAGGGTGAGTGCCACCTGCCCACACCTTCCCAGTGGGATGGATTGTTGAGAATGTTAACAGACAGTCCAGGTGAGGTAGAACATCCAGCGATATGCCAGGAGGGTGAGTGCCACCTGCGCGCACCTGGCAGCCATGTGAACAATAAGTGGGGGGTATTAGTGAATGTGAAGAGAGGGCTCAGACGACGTAGGACATTCAGCAGTAGGCCAGGAGGGTGAGCGCCACCTGCCCGCACCTGGCCTGGTGTGAGGAGTGGGTGGGGGGTAGTTGATATTGTGAAGAGAGGGGCCCAGATGTAGTAGAACATCCAGCAGTAAGCGACAGCACCACGTGCATCCACCTGCCGTGGGCACGGTGGATGGGGGGCATGGATGCACATGGGATGGGAGGGGGGGTCACAGAAACAGAGAGTCAGCGGGAGTCAGCGCGAGTCAGCGCCCCCTGCACCCACGTGCGTGGTGGGGGGAGAGAAGAGCAAGGCGAGTGAGAGGTGAGGTGAGTGCAGTGAAGCACAGCGTGGGTGGAGAGGGGCAGGGGGAGGGGCAGGGGGAGGGGCAGGCGGAGGGGCAGGGGGAGGGGCAGGGGGAGGGGCAGGGGGAGGGGCAGGGGGAGGGGCAGGGGGAGGGGCAGCTCACCGGATGAGGAAGGGGCGCGCGAAGAAGGCGGGTTGGGTGAGCGCGGAGGGGGGGAGGAGGAGGGAGAGCGAGTGGTAGACGGCGAGGCACAGCAGCGCCTTGAGCAGCGCGCGGCACGCTGGCAGCACACGCGGAGGGAAGGCAGGGCTGGCTGGTGCGGGTGGGTGCTTGTGAGGGTAGAGAGCGGACCAGTGCTGCCAGTGGGGGGGCGAGGGGGGACAGAGGGGAGGTTTGGAGAAATGGAGGGAGGGGAATAGACGGGGGGAATGGAGAGGGGGAATGGGGAGGGGGGAGAGATGATGGAGGCTGAAAGCGGGTGCTGAGGTGTTGTGATGAAGACTGTTGTGGTTTGATAGCATGGTATGAAAAGGGAGTGGAGACCTCACCTCCTCCGCACCCCTCCGCACCCCTCCCAACCCTCCCACCCCTCCCACCCACCCCTCTCACCCCTTCCATCCCTCTCACCCCTCTCACCCCTCTCACCCCTCCCACCCCTCTCACCCCTCCTGCCCCTCTCACGCTCACACCACTTTCATCCCTCCCATCCCTCTCCCCCTGCCTCACCCCTCTTCCCTCAACGTAGTCTCGGTAAGCGGCGAAGGGGAAGGGCGGCCCCACGATGAGGGCTGTGGGGAAGAAGCCCCTAGTCATCCCTCCCACCCCTTACCACCCTTCCCCCCCCCTTCCCACCCCTTACCCCCCCTTCCTCACCCCGCGCCCCTCAATGTAGTCTTGGTAAGCGGCGAAGGGGAAGGGCGGCCCCACGAGCAGGGCGGCGGGGAAGAAGACAAACCCCAGGAACGGCAGCAGAGGGGGCACGCGGGGGAGCGCGCTGGGGGAGGCTCTGCTGGCGCGCTAAGGGAGGAATGGGGAAAATAAAGGGGGGGAGGGAATGGGGGGAGAGGCGAGGAGGTAGGGTTCGAGGGCGTGCGGTTGGGAAGGGCAAAGCACGCATGAAGAGGGCGGGTTTACATAGATACCTCAAAAACATGAAAAGTTATTTAATACGACGAGAGTTCGCTAAGCAGATTACCTTATGAATCCGTTATTGCAATGAACAACGTCAGGAAAGTGAATGTGAGGACGCGATAAAATGCTGCAAGGAATGTCATATGAGGTTGCCATGCCACACCACATCATGCCACACCACACCATGCGACACCATGCCATGCACGCAGTCTTGGAAGTCCATGGTGCCGGGAGCTTCAGAATGAGCACGAATGACAATGATTCAATCGCATAGGCATCAGCACAGGCATCTCCCAGTACGAATCTCAGAAGGCACGTACCGGTGGGCTGCCGTCCTGTTTCTCCTTGCCATCCTGCTCCCCCCTGCCGTCCTGCTGCCCCCTGCCGTCCTGCTGCCCCTTGCCGTCCTGCTGCCCCTTGCCGTCCTGCTGCCCCCTGCCGTCCTGCCCGTTGCTGCCGTCCTGGCAGTCCATGGCGGCCCCAACGAGCTTGAGAGTGACGATCATGAGTGTTCCCGTGAAGTCTATGTCGCCCCGCCTCCATGCACTCGCATCTAGACTCGTGGCATGGCTGGTGGGAGGAGGGGTATGAGGACATGGGGGCATGGGGGGTATGGGGGACGAGGGATGGGAGCATGAAAGCATGAGGCGGTGAAGCATTGGGGAGGGAATATGGAGCAGGAAAAGGAGGGAAGGAGTTGAGATGGATGAGAGAAACACAAATGCAGCGGGACAAGGGGGGAGAGCAGGGCGTGAGGTGCAGCAGAGGAGTGAAACAATGAGATAAACACAAAAGGGGCGCAGCTGGGGCGCATGGGATGGGCGCATGGGAGGGGCGCATGGGAGGGGCGCATGGGAGGGGCGCATGGGAGGGGCGCATGGGAGGGGCGCATGGAGTGGATGGGAGGGGGCAGACCAGAAGATGAGGAAGGCGAAGGCGGTGAGGAAGACGATGTAGCCGGAGAGGCGGCGAGGCAGGGCGAGCATGGCGGCGTAGCACGCGAGGGTGACTCCCCATATGGCCGCACTCGCTGCTCGCTTGGCCATGGGAAGATGGGGGATGAGGGGGTGGGGAGGTGAGGGTGCAGGCAGGCGGTCATGAGTGCATAGCGGGCGAGGGTGCCCGCCCTCCATGGCTGCACTCGCTGCACGCATGCATGATCATGGAGACATTGTTGAATGGATGAATGGGGTGGGGGAATGGGGGAATGGGGAATGGGGGAATGAGGAATGGGGGAATGGGGGGAATGGGGGAACGGGGAAATGGGGAAAGGAAATGTGGAAGGGAAATGGGGGAATGGAGGAATGGGGGAATGAGAAATGGGGAATGGGGTTGGATGGGGGAATGGGGGGAATGGGGGAATGGGGGGATGGGGGAACGGGGAAATGGGGAATGGAAATGGGGAATGGAAATGGGGGAATGGAGGAATGGGGGAATGAGAAATGGGGGAATGGGGGGGTTGGAGGACGGGGGAATGCGGTTAGACGGGGGGGTGTTATGGGAGGAGTGGTCGCCACAGAGAGTGAGAGCCACCCGCATTCCAACACACTCCCTTCTTGAGACGTCTCAAAACACTCCCCTTCCTGCAACTCACACTTGCCCACTCTCCCTTCTCCTTCGCACCTCCAACCCCTCCCACCCACCAAGCCCTCCACTTCCCCCAAAGCCACCCATTCTCCTCCCTATCTCCCGCCTTCCTCCCTCTTTCCATCCCCTCCCTAACCCTTTCCTCACCATTTCTTCAACACTTCCTCACCCCGCCCTCTCCCCTACCTTCCTTTCTCCTCTCCCCTCCGTTGCCATCATACCCCATTCACACAACCGCGGTCCCTCCCATCACTTCCTCCCCTTATCCCTCCGCCATCCCCGCTACTTCACTCTCCCCCTCCTCCCCCCTCCCCCCACCTTCCCCTCTCCCCCCACCACGCGCACCTCTCAGTCCGCCATACGCAAACCAACACGTGGCAGCGCCGACGACGACATTGTACACGTGGCGGGTGGAGGGGGAGGGGAGGAGCGGCACGAACGCGGCGGCGGGGATGGAAGAGAGGAGGCAGGCGAGGAAGGTGAGTAGCGGCCGGGACACGCCGAACAGCGTCGCAGGGGAGTCGTCTGCGACCATCGCGTGCGACCGAATCGGTCGCAGTGTGTGTGCGACAGGCAGACTTGGGACAGATGGATGTCGACAGGGAAGGACGGACGAGGCGACAGCGCGCGGAGGTCGTGCGACGGCGTGCAGATCGTCGCAAGGATGCGGTCACACTGGTCACGTGCGAGGAACTGAGACCCGTGGCAGCGGCTCTGCGGGCGAAGAGTGGTAAATTCAATGTATCATGTGCTGCCACGTGTGTTGTGGGTGAAGCCTCAGGTCAGCTCGGGGGGGGAGGATGGATGACAGTGGAGTGACGAGCAGCTGACGTTCTGGAGAAAATACCCGTTTTAGCGTCAACACCTGAGGTATACTTGGTCTTGAAAGTGTAATTATGAGTATCCTGGATGAGTCTGGTTTCTCTCACCTTTGAGATCATTCAAAGTGAACTGTAAGGATTTTTCCAGCATTCCTTACCGCAACCTTCAACATCGCGTACAGCAGCAGCCGTTGTTCGCCCGTCACTGCCAACGGGGCTTCGCCAACTTCGCGCGCACTGTTTTACCAAACCATGCACTGCTGGCCTGGCTGAGTCGGCCTACGCTTCGGGACTAGCCCGAACCTCGATGCCAGCCTAGCACTAGCTAGCTCGCACGCACCGCGTAACCGTTGCATGTTTTCGCACATAAGTATTCGCTCATTACCTTCGCTCATACTTGGTACTCGTTTGACACCTAGTGCAATCCTCGCTATCTCGTTCCTTGCACCCGTAACACTTGGTATTCAAAGCCACTTTCTTTCGGACCGCGCATCTCCGCACCCAGAGACATCAACTTTTGATTTTTGCACTCGAAGGGACTCATGCCTCTTAGCACCTAGGAGTCGTTGGCCTTGCGTTCTCTTGTAAACGCATGCAGCCACGACTGCGCCTAGAGCTAGGACGAGCCGACGGCCTTCGGAATGGCTGACCACATCGACGTCACGACACTCACAGGATTGCCTTAACGAACTGTTGTAGCAGCTACGCGAAAGATTCGAAGAAATCGTGGCGCTGACGGCAGAACGCACGTCCCTGCAGAATGACGTCGCACGAGCGCAACAAGCACAATCACAGACACAAGGCACGCACGGACAACCCGCACGTCAGGCATCACAACACGGAAGTGTGGGGCAACCCTCGAGCGCGGCTAGTGATGGCGTCGCCTGCAACGACGGAGACGACGACCACAGAACGACACACCCCGAAGCGACGAATGTGGTCATAAGCCAACCTCGTGTCACGATTTCGGTGCCGACCGGCGAGTCAGCACTGCCGTCGCCGATGCCGCTGAAGCCGCAGCGTCCGCCTTGCTTCGACCCAAGTCAGCGGGGTGGTCCTACCGTTCAGGCGTGGTTGTTCACGATGAACGTCTTCTTCGGCGCCAACTACGTCTCAGAGGACTCGACGAAGATTCGATACGCCGTGTCGCTGCTGCGAGGACCCGCCATGGACTGGTGGCGCGTCATCGTCACGAAGCCGGTGGACTACGCGACTGTACCGACACGGGAAGGACAAACCGGACCCTGGGCGCCGTTGTATTTCGTAGAGGTGCCCCAATATCGCACGTGGGATGCGTGGTGCACAGGTCTGCGCGCACGATTCGAGCCAATTGCGGCTTCGATCGCGGCGCGTCAGAGGCTCCGCACTTGGCGTCAGCTCGGTTCCGTCCATGACTACACCAGCGGGTTCCTGGCGCTGTGCGAGCAGGTGGGCTACATGCACGAGGGCGAACGCATCGAACGCTATATCGGCGGCCTGAAACACGAAATCGCCCAAGAAATCCAGCTCCGCAACGTCACAGAATTTCAGGACATTCTCGCCATGGCGGAGAAACTTGACTTCTTACGCCGACCGAGACCAGGGTCCTACGGCAACAACAGCAACTAGGGACATCGGTCTCATGGCCCGTCTTACATACTAGAGGTTTCACTTTTTTCTTCGGTGCGCCTCCTGCCGCCGGCCAAGCAAGTGCACTTTCGACGGGTCACGACAACGAAGGAGTGTCTGGATGCTATTGTTGCTTGATACTAGACCACCTCCTTTGCTACTCTAGGGCGCATCGCCATGACTTTCCACTTCCCGGATCTCCTTGCGTTCTCCACTATCGCTGGCCTCATTACCCACATGCGCTTCCTTGACGCTAGCTTCCACGCTGCTTGCACTGCTAACCACCTTGCTGAGCACGCCCCCCCATGTACCCTACACCTCCTCGCGACCCGCCTCCCTGACCGCCTTGCGCCTGCCCACAACGCCCTCCTCGCCATGCACCCCATGCGCCTCACTATCGATCACTTTGAGACTAGTCTCACAGAGAAAGAGACCTATCTTCGCACCATCGCCTCCACCACTGGTGCAGTAGTCCCCCCCATCTTTGAGGGGTGGGCTCCGCCCCAATTCCCTAGGGGTGGTCGAGGTCGTGGAGGGGGTGGAGGAGCTGGTACGTCGAGGGGTGCTGACGCCGGGAGTGCTGGTTCTGGGGGTGCAACCACAGGAGGTGCTGGTTTTTGGGGGTGCAACGGTGACTCCGCAGCAAGAGCAGTAGTCGCAGCAGCAGTAGCAGCGGCTCCAACAGTGGGTCTCTCAACGGAAGTGGGAACTTGCTGGCCCGGGGAGCCTTGGCCGCCGTGGCGGGTTTCAGAGCTCGCCGTCGCGTGCCTTCCTCCTCCCCCCCCCGGGCCATGCCAGTACCGGATTCTGTCTAGTCCTCTGCGTGGCACCGTCTGCGGGCGCACTGGTCACTCAACTGCGCGCTGCTTCCACCGACACGATGACCTCTTCCGCGCCCACTTCAGTCCGACGGAGTCCGTCCTGGAGTAGCCTGCGCAGTTATACAAGGGTCTGGCTGTGGTTGATCTTGACATGTCTCAAATAGGATCTGCTTTGTATGGCATGTATGCTGATGACACTAGTGTTGCCGGATCCTATTATTCGTGTGTCCCTAGACAAGGTTCTCTAGCTCCCCCTAGTATTGGATCCTCCATTGTTTCTTGCCCAGCTGCGTCGATTGCCGACATGTCTTGCTCCTTTATATTGGACTCTGGCAGGTCCAAGAGCTTCTTCTACGACTACCCCAACCTCTTGTCACTTTCAACTCCGGTCACAATCTCCTTGGCCGACGCGTCCTCTGGACCAATCGTCGCACGCACCGCTACTTCACTCTCGTGTCCAGAATTCCCCTTTGGCTCCCTCACAAATTTGGACATCCCCTTGTTATCTAGAAATTTGGTGGGTGTCGGTTGTTAGAACTCCTATGTTCTAGCATGCTAACACTTGTGACTGTACACCAATTGTGTTGTACAGTTGGGTTGGGACTTTGGGTGTAGTCTTGCATTTTGGGGTACCAATCCAACCCAATTGTGGTGGAGCCCCCAAATGCAACCTTATGGGCCATAGGGTTGGCCCACTCCCCCAACACAAAGTGAGGCCAACCCAACCCATAGGGCCATAGGTTGGCCCACTTCCCCAAGTGTGGTCAACCCAATCCAATGGGCCATAGGTTGGCCCACTCCCCCAATCCCACCTCCCTCCTTTTCCCTTCCAACCTTCTCTTCCAAACCTATGTATGCTTGTTCTTCTCTCTAATCAAATTAAATCATTCTTTTTCAATTCTTCACATGGTATAAAGCTCCTTCCCAAGGCAACCTCCTCCCCCTCCAGTTTTTTTTTCCAAGGGCCCACCACCCGCTTCCCTAACGACGCGACCCTGCAGTCGCCCGCGTCCCCCTCACCCTTCCCATCTCGGCGCTTTCCCGCCGCGGCCTTTCAGCCGCCGCCCGTGCCCTTCCGCCACGGCCTCCCTTCCCTCACCGCGGATTTCGCCGCGGATTTCGCCGCCATCGCCTTCCCGCCTGCGGATTTCATCGCCGCGACTGCTACGTCGCCGCCCTCTAATTTCACCACCGCGACCCTTCCATCGCCGCCTGCCCCCTCCCGGCCGCCGCGACCCTTCCGTCGCCGCCTGCCCTCCCGGCCGCCGTGACCCTTCCGTCGCAGCCTGGCCCTCCTCGCCGCCGCGACCTGCTTCGTCGCTGCCTGCCCTCCCAGCCGCCGCGACCTCTCCCGTCGTCGCCTGCCCTCTTCCGTCGCGCGACCTTTCGTCGCCGGCTGCCTGTCCCGCCGCCGCGACCTTTTCGTCGCCGACTGCCTGTCCCGCCGCCGCGACATCTTCGTCGCCGGCCGCCTGTCCCGCCGCCGTGACCTCTCGTCGCTGCCTGCCCATTTCCTCCCCGCGGCTACTTTTTCGCCGTCTGCGGTTCCCGCCACCGCGACCTGCTTCGTCGCCGCCTGCCCTCCCAGCCGTCGCGACCTCTCCCGTCGTCGCCTGCCCTCTTCCGCCGCGCGACCTTTCGTCGCTGGCTGCCTGTCCTGCCGCCGCGACCTTTTCGTCGCTAGCCGCCTGTCCCGCCGCCGCGACCTCTTTGTCGCCGGCCGCCTGTCCCGCCGCCGCGACCTCTCGTCGCCGCCTGCCCATTCCCTCCCCGCGGCTACTTTTTCGCCGTCTGCGGTTCCCGCCGCCGCGACTGCAAGTCGTCGCCTGCACATACCGCCGCCGTGATTTCCGCCAGTTCCGCCGCAATTCCCGTTGCCGCAATTATGCCCCCGTCGCTCGCGATTTCCGCGACCGCGACTGCATCATCGCCGCCTCCCATTCCCACCGCCGCGACCACCTCGTCGCCGCCTGCTCACCCCGTCCTCGCGACCCTGTCGCCCCCCCCCCCCTGCGCATTCCGCCGCCACTCCACTCTCTCCCTCCTCCTCTCCTTCCCCCCTCTCCTCGCTGCAGCGGCAGCAACAACATCGGCCGCAGCGGCAGCAGCGGCAGCAGCAACAGCAGCGGCAGCAGCGACATCCGCGGCAGCAGCGGCAGCCGTGGCAGTTGCACCCGTGCCTGCATTCTCCTCCCCCTCCCCCTCTCCCCCTCTCCCTCCTCCTCTCCCTATCCTCTCTCCTCGCAGCAGTGGCAGCAGCGGCAGCAGCAGCAGCAGCGGCATCCCCGGCAGCAGCGGCAGGAACGACATCAGAGGCAACTGCGGCAGCCGTGCCAGCCGCACACGTGCCTGCATTCTCCTCCCCCTCCCCCTCTCCCCCTCTCCCTCCTCCTCTCCCTCTCCTCTCTCCTCGCAGCAGCGGCAGTAGCTACAGCAGCAGCAGCAGCGGCAGCAGCTGCAGCACCAGCAGCAGCGGCATCCCCGGCAGCAGTGGCAGCAGCGAAATCAGCGGCAGCCGTGCCAGCCACACCTGTGCCTGCATTCTCCTCCCCCTCCCCCTCTCCCCCTC